CGGGCTTCCTTCCCCGGCGCGTCCCCAGCGCCCTCCCCCAGCTGCTGTTGCTTGAGCCTGCCGGTCTGGTGGCAGATCCGGCGCTCCTGGTCACGGCCTTGGGCGCCATCCCCTGCAGCCTCCCCCACCCTTTACGGCGGCGTGACCCAGCCACCGTTGGTGCTGCTGTCGGCCATCGGTGAGCTGTGGGGCCTGCGGCTGGCACTTCCTCCTCCCGAGCCACGGTGACAGTTCTTGCGTGGAGACGGCGATGTTTGTGTGGTTGTGGTAGACACTGAGCGCTCGTGGTGGGTCCTTGCTAGAGCTGTTCCGGCCCCGATGGTCTTGGGCCCGCGTCTCTCCGGTGTCCCTCGCCGCCGGCGTCCTCTACCGGGCAGCTTTGGCCTCGGTGACCCAGTGGCTGCGCCCCTTCCAGCTCATCTGGCTCGCCGACGTCCTGACAGCTAAGGCCACGGCAGCTCGGATCTGCGTCCCTCCAGTCCAACCTTGCCCGCGTTGCTAGACGCCGTCGCCCCAACCCCACGCGTGGTTCGCTTCGTCGGCTGCCCTACCATGTACATCAAAGCCTCCCCGTTTACCAACTCCATTGCTCGCGGTTTCGGAGGCGGTGCCACCATCCGACGGGAGGTGCAGCCCCTGCTAACCCCCTTCCAACATGGTGGTTCGGACCAACTCCGGCCTCCTCAGCTTTGATTCCTGTTTCGGCGGCTATGGGATTGCTCAGCTTCAGGCCAGGGAGAGATCCCTGCACCGGCTGCCGCTTCCTTCTTGGAGGCGTTGCCGAGGCCTTCAGTTGGGCCCCTCTTCGAGCTCAGGGGAAACCCTAGGTCTGGTTCCTCCGGATCGGATGGCGACGACATCTCGACATCGTCTTCCTTCTTGAAGGCGCTATCTTGCTCGCTCGCGGTGTCCCCGATTTCAGCTCGAATGATGTTGGAGTTCCTGTTGGTTCGGCATTGCCACTCTTAGTTTGGGCTTGGTAGGTTTAGCTGTGATGCATCCTTGTTCGGGCTGAGCATCCCTTGTCTCTCTGCTCCGGCACCATGTCCATGCCTGTCTGCATTCGTGTCATGAGTTGTATCTCTCGCTGTACTTATTCTTTTCTTTCTATCAATGGAATGATACGCAAGCTTTGCGTATTCGCGAAAAAAAGAAATTGATGAGTTCATAAATGAGGTTGCTATGCTCTCGCAGATTAACCATAAGAATATTGTTAAGCTTAAAGGTTGTTGTCTTGAGACAAAAGTTCCTTTACTTGTCCTACTGTCGCATCAGGTCCGTCCGCATGTGACGGTTTCGTGCTATACATTTCTAGCGCCTTCGTTGCGACTCTGTGTGCACCTCGTCGGCAGATCTTGCCGCTTGATCCCCATCTGTAATCACTAAATCCATAATCTAGCTCCCAAATTTCTCGTTCCCCTGATCTTTTTCTCAGATCCGAGCACTCCCAGACTTGCCTCTGTGGCGACTTTCGGCGTGTGTCCGGCGACTGGTGTGCTGCCGTCTCTTCCCTACCTCTTCTTCCTCTGATCTTCTCTCACTCCTATGCTTCTTCCTGGATCCCATCCATCTTCCCAAATCCAAGCCGCCGCCCCATCCTCGATCTCCTTTTCCTTATCTTTCTGTTCCTGGATTCGCATCACTGTTCCTGGCCAGATTCATCGCCGCTGTTTCTCCAAAGTTCAATTGATTTGGTTGAAGGCTGGCGTGTAAGTTTTCAATTTTGGCGTTATGTTGTTTCTTCCTCAATCCTTCCCCTATCCTAATATTGTTTACTTTTGATCTTTTCTTCCCTGGATTCTTTCCTCTCATCTCCACGGCCTGTTTTCATCGTCCCCTAATCCTTTCACCAAATCTCCTGCTTCCTTCCCCGTTTTTCTGTTCCACCTCTATTCTTCCCTAATCTGGCCCAATTTCGCCTTAGATTTTAGATCCTTTCTACACTGTCGCTACTCTTCTGTAGTCGTTATCCACTTAGTTCGCACCCAGCTTGAGCCCTGCTACTGGTAGTGGTTTCCCTTAGCCCGACGTCGCTTCCAGAATCTGATTTTCCCTGCCACCATTTCTTGCTCCCCTATCCGAGCTTTTCCGTCATATCGTTGTCCAATTACAAATTTTAGTGTGTGTGAACTGCTTTTAGTCAAGGAAAATGGGAGCCTGTTCTTTGTTGCTATTCTGTGGACTGGGTGATGAAGCTAGTAGCATGGAACTGCAGGGGGTTGGGAAATCCACGGGTTGTTCGAGGACTTCAGTATGTTCATAAACGGGAGGATCCGGATGTTCTTTTCTTATCCGAAACCAAGATGGATGAAAGGAGAATACAGAAGTTCCGGTGGCTGCTTGGTTTGCCAAACATGGAGGTCAAAAATTGTGAAGGTCAAAGTGGTGGACTGGCTTTGTTTTGGAAGAATGGAATTACTGTCAAAATTTTAAGCGTGTCACGCTTCTATATTGATGCTGAGGTCAACATGGATGAGGGTGTGTTATGGAGGTTTACAGGTTTCTATGGAGAACCACATGTTGATATGAAACATTTGTCGTGACGTGCTCTCCGTAGTTTGAAGCATAATAGTCCCCATCCATGGATATGCATGGGAGATTTCAATGAAATTCTATTCAGCCATGAGAGACAAGGTGGGGCACCACCTATACAAGCTTCTATGGATCGTTTTCGCGATGCCCTCATTGATTGTGATCTTGAGGACCTGGGTTTTGAAGGAGATGTTTTCACCTGGCGAAATCATAATCATCGCCGGAATAACTATATACGCGAACGTCTTGATCGAGCCGTGGGATCTCAAGCCTGGAGGGCCCTGTTTGCCCTTTTCCGAGTCACCAACGGCACGCCAAGACATTCTGATCACCGGCCCATTATCGTGGATACCGGAAGTGAGCCGACCCGACAGGATATCCATCATACTTTTCGGTTTGAGGCCCGATGGCTCCAGGAAGATAATTGCACACAACTAGTCGAAGGGGCATGGAATGAAGCACTCCTGAATGGAGCGGGTCACATTTCAGAGGCACTACAAAACGTGGCTTCTTGCCTTACTGACTAGAACCGAAACGTGCTAGGTTATTTGGAGAAGAGAATTAAAAAAGCTAAAAAGGAACTAGACTGCTGCCTTCGTGCCCCAATCTCGGAGGCGCAGTTAAGGCAAGAACAAATTCTACTATACAGACTGGATCGCCTTGAGGAGCAGAAGGATACTTATTGGCGACAACGTGCACACATTGATTGGCTTAAAATGGGAGACCGCAACAAAAGGTATTTCCATACATGCTGCTCTGAGAGGAAAAAAATAAATAGAATTCAGCGGTTGCAGAAAGAAGATGGTGTCTGGGTGGAATCTGATCGGGCTTTGAGGGAGTATATTTCGGATTTTTTTCTCTGGTTTGTTTTCATCCTCACTATCTGCAGATATTGGCAGGCTCCTGCAGCATGTCGAACCTCGAATTAGCCCAGCCATAAATGACTCCCTATGTGCCCCTTTCGATGCAGATGAGGTCTCTAAAGCCTTATCATGCATTGGAGATTTAAAGGCCCCTGGCCCGGATGGAATGCCTGCAATATTTTTTAAGCATTTTTGGGAATTGGTTGGAGACCGAGTCAAGTCAGAGGTTCTCCAGGTCCTGAATGGAGGTGATATCCCAGAAGGCTGGAATGAAACCACAGTGGTGCTAATACCGAAAGTGAAGAATCCTACCCGTATCGAAGATTTGAGACCAATAAGCCTTTGTAATGTGTTGTACAAGCTAATATCCAAGGTGCTAGCAGCTGGAATGAAGGTTTTCTTAAATGAGATCATATCACCAAACCAAAGTGCTTTTGTTCCAGGGCGGTTGATCTCTGACAATGTCTTGCTAGCCTATGAAATGACTCACTATATCAAACATAGGAGAGGGAGGAAAAATGGTTATATGGCAATCAAACTAGATATGAGTAAAGCCTATGACCGGGTTGAATGGAGGTTTTTGGAGATGATGCTTATTAAGCTTGGTTTTCATCAAAGCTGGGTTTCTTTGCTGATGAAGTGTGTTCAAACAGTGAAATACCGGTTTAATATCAATGGGGAACTCTCTGAGACCATCATTCCGCGGCGAGGCTTGCACCAAGGTGACCCCCTTTCCCCCTACCTTTTTCTCATTTGTGTTGAAGGATTTTCGTCCCTTCTCCATGTGGCAGAGCAACAGGGGCTGATTGAAGGCATAAAAATATGTCCCTCGGCACCAGCAGTTTCCCATCTGCTTTTTGCAGATGATTCCCTTCTTCTGCTGAAGGCTAATAATAGTAACGCAATAGAGTTACAAAGAATTCCGGATTCATATGAAGGTGGTTCAGGACAAATGATCAATAGGGATAAGAGCAGTATTTTGTTCAGTTCGAATTGCTCGCCAAGCTGCAAATCTCAAGTGATGAACACCTTGCATCTTGTATCTGAAGGTCGAAATGAGCGATATCTTGGGCTTCCGGTTTATATTGGCCGTTCAAAAACTAGGGTCTTCCAGTATCTCAAAGAGAAAATCTGGCAAAGAATTAGAGGCTGGAAGGAGAAAATGCTTTCAAAAGCAGGAAAGGAAATCCTTATCAAGGCGGTGGCACATGTGATTCCCACCTACGCTATGGGATGTTTTGATCTCACCAAAACTCTTTGTGATGAGATCTCAACAATGATTTGCCGCTACTGGTGGAGCCAGGTGGACAAGGAAAACAAGATGCATTGGATTGCTTGGGATAAGTTGGTAAAACCAAAGAAAGATGGGGGTCTAGGTTTCCGTGATTTGCACCTTTTCAACATCGCAATGTTAGCAAAGCAAGCATGGCGCATCCTTCAGGATCCGTCATCACTTTGTGCTCGTGTGCTGGGTGCTCGCTATTTCCCCAACGGAGATATCCTAGCAGCCAAGCCAAGAGCGGGGATTTCCTACACTTGGCGAAGTATTCTAAAGGGGCTTGACCTTCTTAAGCAAGGCATTGTGTGGCGAGTTGGAAATGGTCAGAACATCAAGATCTGGGACAACCCATGGTTGCCGAGAGGAATTACTCGCCGACCCAGTTCGACTCGTGGCCAAAACCTTTTGGAGAATGTGGAGGACCTCATTAACCCGGTGACCGGTATGTGGGACTTGGAACTTGTAAACCAAACGTTCTGCACTGAAGACGCCAAAGTTGTACTTTCAATCCCAATATTTGAAGGTTTTGAGGACTCCATAGCATGGCATCCTAACCCAAAAGGGAATTTTACGGTGAAGTCCGCCTACAAGCTGAATCTGCAGCTGAGAGCAGAGGAGAATGGGGGAAACTGTTCTACCAGCACTGCAACAATTACGACAAGCCAGACCACTTCACGGTGGGGGAAAATCTGGCACCTAAATGTCCCAAAGAAAATTGCAATGTTCCTTTGGAGATTTACAGATAACAGCCTGCCGGTACGAACTAACATTAGACGCCGAGGCATGGACATCGATACACTCTGTCCATGTTGTCGACGACTTGATGAAGATGGTGGCCATCTTTTTCTCAAATGCAAGTTTGCAAGGGCCTGCTGGCGTGCGGCAATCCTAAAAGAGCAGCGTCTCAAACTTGTAGCATGTTCCTCAGCTCAAGAAGTAATGGACTGCATCTTCCAGTTTGGGGACCAATTGGCTATGCAAATAGCCACCCTGTTATGGTGTATCTGGTCAGCAAGAAATAAATGCAATGCTGGTGAAAGTGCTCCCACGGCTGATGCGATTGCAGCTAATTGCAGCCAACATATCCTTCAGTTTACTGAACACCTGAAAGGAGGGAACCAAACCAAAACAAACAGGAGGTGCAGGTGGTCACCGCCACCATCAAATTTCATTAAGATTAATTTTGATGGTGCTTACTCAGGCAACACACAAGAGGGAGGATGGGGTTTCTGTGCTAGAACTGAGGAAGGTTCAGTCTGGGGTGCAGGCATGGGCCGACTGACTCATCTTTCTGACGCTCTCCAAGCTGAAGCTTTTGCTTGTTTGCAGGCGATTCAATTTTCCCGAGATGCTGGAATGAGCCAGGTCATCTTTGAAATTGATGCTACAAATTTGAAGGATGCCCTGTGTAGCAATGCATACGATCTCTCATAGCACGGTACTATCTTTAGGAAGGCCAAGTATATGCTGTATACTAGCTAGTTTTATCGAGTACAAAGTTGTATCTTGTGTCCGCGAATGTAATAGTGTTGCTCATAAATTAGCGGGTCAGGGTGCGTCTATGGAACCTGGTGCTCATATGTTGTGGCATGGTACGATTCCAGACTTTGTAATCTCTAATGTAGCCAGTGAGTATGCTGTGCTAGGTGGTTAATGGAATATATGTTTTCCCGATCAAAAAAAAGAAGTTCCTTTACTCGCTTATGAGTTCATTTCCAATGGAACATTAAGTGACCATCTTCACACGGAGGAACCAAGATCACTAACTTGGAAAGATAGGCTGAGGATTACAGGTGAAATAAGCAAAGCTATTGCTTACCTTCACTCTACCATTTCAGTCCCCATAATCCACAGAGATATTAAGCCTTCCAACATACTTCTTGATGATACCTTGACAGCCAAAGTGTCTGATTTTGGAGCTTCAAGGTACATTCCCATAGATCAAACAGGAACAACAACTGCAGTGCAGGGAACTATTGGATATTTAGACCCTATGTATTATTACACGCGACGACTAACTGAAAGTAGCGATGTCTATAGCTTTGTAGTCCTTGTTGAGTTTCTTACAAGGAAGAGACCATCATTGTGTATCTCCTCCGAAGGTGATTGGATTGTCACTCAGTTTGTTGAATTACATGAGGATGGCAATCTGGTCGATATACTGTATCCACAGGTTGTTGAGGAGGGAGGTAATGAAGTGGAAGAAGTAGCTACTTTAGCTGTGTCATGCATGAAATTGGTAGCTGGAGAGCGACCAACAATGAGGCAAGTGAAAATGGCGATGGAAGCTCTCCAACCACCTAAGAACCGTGTCTTGGGTAATTTGGCCACTCCATCATTGAACTGTCCATCTACGAGCAGAAGAGCAAAACAAAGTGAAACAAGCAGATGTTATAGCCTAGAAGAAGAGTTTATATTATCCTCGAGATACCCTCGGTAGTTCTGCTTTTGTCTGAATGGATTTTGATCTATGTATGATGCAACCTTGTCATGATTGTTAGCTGTAAACGCACATACTTGTATTTATTTTTTATGAAAAATATGCTAAACTTTATTGTATGAAGTGTTTTTAGAAGCAGCTATGTATATTTCGAACAATTAATTGGACTCAATTGTACTGATTTTCCTGTTCACCCGACTGTGATGCTCATAAATAATAAACTTCCTTTCTATAATTCTTGTTAAGAGAACATTCTGGATCATTTTTGTTGTCGTCATTTCTGTGATGCGCAGTGCATTTTATTCAAGACAACTCTATTGTTTTGATTTCTATGGTGCGCACTGCATTTTATTGAAGAGAACTCTATTGTATTGATTTCTATGATGCGCAGTGACAGAGGCATTGGATCCATTCTAGAGTGTCCCTCTATGTAATGCAAGGGGCGATGCTGAGCACAAGAGCTTGAGAGATGCACTGTTGGGTCATGTCCATTGGCCGACACGATTGCACTGATACTTAGGACTACCTTTTTGAGTTTAAGGGAGAAGTGTAGGAAGCATTGTTTCAAGTGAGGGGGCATGTCCTGGTAGCTAAGATATACTACCATGATTTCTCCTTACTGCATAGAAGTCCCCCCATTAATTTTATATCAAGTGGTAAATCATCACGTTTACTACAATTTGCAAACCAAGATCCTTAAGCACATCAACCTCATGTCCATTTTGCTCTATTGTGAGTGCCTACAAGCAGTTGAAAGCTACATCATCAATAAGGGGACCATAACATCATATAGTGGTGATTAGCTAATGTAGTTATTTCATCTACAGATAATATGTTAGATCAGGGAACAAACTAGAACTAATAGTCCCTCTAAACATAAATTTATCTTGATTTGCATATGGAAATGATGTTCATGGTGAAAGAAGGTTTCTCAACAAACACTAGTAGAAAACAGGGCTTTGGTCCAGGCCTGGCCAGCCCATTAGTCCCGGTTCAGTCTTGAACCGGGACCCATGGGGGCATAGGTCTCGGTTCGTGAGCCCAGGGGGGCGGTCGGGCCTTGTGGGGCATTGGTCCCGGTTCTTCTGTCCCCGTTGGTCCCGGTTCCAGACACGAATCGGGACCAATGGGCCTCGCTCCTGGCACACGACCATTGGTCCCGGTTCATGGCTGGAACCGGGACCAAAGGGGGGCCTTTAGTCCCGGTTCCAGCCACGAACCGGGACCAATGAGGTGCCTATATATACCCCCTCGCCTGCGAGCAGAGCACTCCACTGCTCTATTTTTTCTGTCCGGCGAGGGGAGAGCTTTGTGGTGCTCTAGCTAACCTCCTATGCACAGGAGGTGTTCGATGAAATGCCCGAGCCACACTACTTAAGCTTTCTCCTCTCCAAGCTCGACCTCCAAGCACCATTTTCCTCAAGATTTGTCTAGGTTTAGCGGTTCGTCACGTCCCATCCCCGTCTTCATAGCCATCGATTGCCCGCGCCGATCTCGTCGCCGGCACCACCGTGGTGAACCTCTTGTTCTTATCTTCTTTTTAAAAGAAAAAAATCTTACTTGTAAGATTGGTCACTTATCTATTCATGATGTTCTGTAATGGTTTTTGACACACTTTCTTAAATATAATGCACGCAAATGGACCGGCAATGGATGTACAGTAACAGACACACCTCCGAGTACATTGAGGGCCTGCATAATTTTCTCGTAGTGGCTGAGGCAAAACAAGCAGAATGGTTTTATGTGTTGTCCATGCCCTAGCTGTGGGAATACGAGGTCTTACTCTGGCTCGAAAAACCTTCACACCCACCTGCTTTATAAGGGTTTCATGTCACACTATAATGTTTGGACCAAGCACTGAGAAATAGGGGTTATGTTGGAAGACAGCGAAGAAGAAGAGGATGATGACAACTATGTGCCCCCTGAATACGGTGATGCTGCAACAGGGGAAGCTGAAGATCAAGTGGAACCAGACGATGTGCCCAATGATGATCTCCGCCGGCTCATTGTTGATGCAAAGAGACAATGCGAAAGTGAAAAGGAGAAGCTTATGTTCGATCGCATGTTAGAGGATCACAAAAAAGGGTTGTACCCCAATTGCGAAGATGGCAACATAAAGCTCGGTACCGTACTGGAATTGCTGGAGTGGAAGGCAGAGAATGGTGTGCCTGACAAAGTATTTGAGAAGCTACTGAAAATATTGAAGAAGAAGCTTCCAAAGGATAACAAATTGCCCGACAGTATGTACGCAACAAAGAAGGTTGTATGCCCTCTAGGATTGGAGGTGCAGAAGATACATGCATGCCCTAATGACTGCATCCTCTACCGCGCTACGTACGAGGATTTGAACGCATGTCCGGTATGAGGTGCATTGCGGTAAAAGATCAGACGAGATGACCCTGGTGATGTTGACGGCGAGCACAACAGGAAGAGGGTTCCTGCCAAGGTGATGTGGTATGCTCCTATAATACCACAGTTGAAACGTCTGTTCAGAAACAAAGAGCACGCCAAGTTGATGCGATGGCACAGAGAGGACCGTAAGAAAGACGAGAAGTTGAGAGCACCCGCTGACGGGTCGCAGTGGAGAAAAATTAAGAGAAAGTACTGGGAGGAGTTTGCAGGTGACGCAAGGAACGTATGGTTTGGTTTAAGCGCGGATGGCATTAATCCTTTTGGGGAGCAGAGCAGCTATCACAACACCTGGCCCGTGGCTCTATGTATCTATAACCTTCCTCCTTGGCTGTGCATGAAGCGGAAGTTCATTATGATGCCAGTTCTCATCCAAAGCCCTAAGCAACCCGGCAACGACATTGATGTGTACCTAAGGCCATTACTTGAAGAACTTTTACAGCTGTGGAATGGAAACGGTGTACGTGTGTGGGATGACCACAAATAGGAGGAATTTGACCTGCATGCGTTGTTGTTTATAACCATCAATGATTGGCCTGCTCTCAGTAACCTTTCAGGACTGACAAACAAGGGATACCACACATGCACACACTGTTTAGCTGACACCGAAAGTATATACCTGGACAAATGCAGGAAGAATGTGTACCTGGGGCATCGTCGATTTCTTCTGACCAACCACCAATGTCGAAAGAAAGGCAAGCATTTCAAAGGCGAGGCAGATCACCGGAAGAAGCCCGCCATTCGTATCGGTGATCACATACTTGCTATGGTCAATGATTTACAAGTAATCTTTGGAAAGGGTCTCGGCGGACTATCTGTTCCGAATGAAGCTGAGGGACGTGCACCCATGTGGAAGAAGAAATCTATATTTTGGGACCTACCCTAGTGGAAAGACCTAGAGGTCTGCTCTTCAATCGATGTGATGCACGTGACGAAGAACCTTTGCGTGAACCAGCTAGGCTTCTTGGGCGTGTATGGGAAGACAAAAGATACACCAGAAGCACGGGAGGACCTACAATGTTTGCACGAAAAAGATGCCATGCATGCCTCCAAAGTAGTATGAAGGTCCTGCCAGATACGCTCTTACCAAACAAGAGAAGGATATCTTGTTTGAATGCCTGCTCAGTATGAAGGTCCCATGTGGCTTCTCGTCGAATATAAAGGGAATAATAAATATGGCAGAGAAAAAGTTCCAGAACCTAAAGTCTCCTGACTGCCACATGATTATGACGCAACTTCTTCCAGTTGCATTGAGGGGGCTTCTACCGGAAAACGTTCGATTAGCCATTGTGAAGCTATGTGCATTCCTCAATGCAATCTCTCAGAAGGTGATCGATCCAGAAATCCTACCAAGGTTAAGGAGTGATGTGTCGCAGTGTCTTGTCAGTTTTGAGCTAGTGTTCCCACGATCCTTCTTCAATGTCATGACACACGTCCTAGTTCATCTAGTCGACGAGATTGTCATTCTGGGCCCTGTAATTCTACACAATATGTTTCCCTTTGGAAGTTTCATGGGAGTCCTAAAGAAATACGTCCGTAACCGCACTAGGCCAGAAGGAAGCATCTCCATGGGCCATCAAATAGAGGATGTCATTGGGTTTTGTGTTGACTTCATTCCTGACCTTAAGAAGATTGGTATCCCTCAATCGCGGTATGAGGGGAGACTGACTGGAAAAGGCACGCTAGGAGGGGACTCAATAATATGTAGGGACGAGCATTCTTGGTCTCAAGCACACTACACAGTTCTACAGAACTCTACCTTGGTGAGCGCGTATGCCGATGAACACAAGAACATTCTGCGCTTCAAACACCCGGAGCAGTGTGACGACTGGATTACATGTGAACACATCAGGACTTTTGGCAGTTGGTTGGAAACACGTCTCAGAGGTGACAACACTGTTTCTGACGAGTTGTACTCATTGGCCAGGGGACCATCTTCGACTGTATTGACTTACAAAGGATACGAGATAAATGGGAATACATTTTACACGATCGCCCAAGACCAAAAGAGCACCAACCAATACAGTTGTGTCCGCTTTGATGCAGCAACCAAGAGGGGAAAGGACACATATTATGGTTACATAGTGGACATATGGGAACGTGACTACGGACATGATTTTAAGGTCCCTTTGTTTCAGTGCAAATGGGTCAATCTGTCAGGAGGCATGATACAGGTAGACCCACAGTAAGGAATGACAACTGTGGATCTAAACAATCTTGGTTATACAGACGAACCATTCGTCCTAGCCAATGATACGATGCAAGTTTTCTATGTGAAGGACATGTCTACCAAACCGAGAAAAAGAACAGATAAGGAAGCGAATACATCATACGATGAGTCAAAGCGCCACATAGTTCTTTCAGGAAAAAGAGACTCGTGGGATTGGAGGGCAAGACAGACATGTCTGAAGATTATGAAAAGTTTCATGAAATTCCTCCCTTCAAAGTCAAGGCTGACCCAAGCACCCTGTTAAACGATGAAGATTATTCATGGTTACGGCGCAATAAGCAAAGGACACAAACGAAGAAAAAGTGAAGACTTTCTCTCCACAACTATTATGATGATGCCTTTGATCTAGAATATCACTGCA